ATCATAGCGAGGCCTAATCGTTCTTTGATCTCAGGTTTTAGCTGCGTCAAAAAAACACACTCGGAGACACACCTGTTCTTACGCATACATACAAGGGCATTCACTGGCACTCAATCACCCTGACACACACACACGTGGGAACATACACACACGGCAAACCATCTGCATCAGCACATCATGTGATTTAAAGACTGTTAAGACAAAGCAGGTGCAATAAATGTTACTGTGTAGGTTGTACGCCACGAAGCCAAGTTGCAGTTTATATCCATGTTTGTATGAAATGTCATCACTACATTATGTTGTCCCTTTGGATCGTTGTGTGACATTGTGATCATTAACATAACATTCATTTAATTATGGACAAAAACACGTTTTAGAGGTCACGGCAATCTTGACCTTTGACCATCATCATGACCATTGGGCCAGAATAAAAAAATGTAACCAAAGGCATTCCAGATATGAGAATGGTATAAATGTGAAGTCAAGGTGACTTTGACCTTTGACCACGAAAATATATACAAAAAAACACAAAATACTTAGGAGAGCTGATCCGATTTTGGATAAGATCACTTTGACATCACAAATATCTGATCAGTTTCTTTTACATCTACATTATCCGTCTTTTTTCATATATGTATTATTTTTGAAAATGTTTCCACTCATTTATTTATTTCTATTTGTAATATTCTATCTCAAGTTTTCTTTCTATGTTTTGGCTTTGTAGATACAGCTGAATGAAAATGAAAGAACTGTGGATAAAAGTGTGAATACATTTGTATAATCTGAAATATAATCTGTGAGCAAGTGAGAAAAACTAATTAACTGAAGGTGTTCCTGAGATATTGCAAAGACACATGGAAGAGCAAAATAAAGTTTGAAAAAAGAATACCATTTATCAATTAAATGTGTTGGGAACACACAGAACATAGTGTTGTAATGTGAGAAGGTCAATACATTTCCATTTAAACATGGAATACATCTAATCACCAAGTATTGAGTAGGACAACAGAGTACAGAGGACCACTTTCTTGCTTTATGTTTGATGTGTTTGTCTCTCTCCTCCTCTCTTGCTGAATAAGCCCAGCAGGGATCCAGATAAGAGTCTGTGTTATCTTTCTTCCCGCCATCTCTCCTAATCTATTGGTTTTGTCTGAAGCGGTTCAAATCTGGCCTTGACTAAGTCAATTATGGCCCTGTTTAAATATAATAGACCATAACGCAGGGTATGAGTTATGGCTGGGCTAGCTTGTGACTGTCAAGTTGCCACAACAGGGGCTTTCCCCCGGGTTGTTTAGCGTTCAGTTGTAGGAAAAGACCCTTTAACAAGTCCACTGTTCCTTATTACCGCGTAAGAACATTTCTTTTTTACCATGTTTTTCACTAGCCAAAATATAGCATTTCAATTTACATTACCGCTGATTACGGATGCTCCTTGCTAACCAAGCTAGCTAGCTAGCACTTCTGTATAAATGTGCCAGAAGTTATTTTATTAGTTTAATCCTTAATACATTATGTTGTAATTCCCTCGTTTTGATATTACATCTGTAATAATCAGTACAGAGTGGTATGGATGAGTCTCAAGAGGAAAAGAAGAATAATTATAATCCAATTAGACACATTCTACTCTATTTGCTACTCTGTGCTTGGACCAAGCCCACCCATTGTATTCAATTACCAGCACATAATGCATTCTGTCCTGTTGCCTTGGATCCTGCAACTGCTGTATACTTCATGCTGTGGCTTGTTTACGACAAGTTGTAATATGCATTCTTCATGATGCGACTTCCATTTGGAGCCAAGATGGATGGTTGTCAACATGTCCACACACTCTTCCCATGCAGAAAGATGTGCATTCAACTCTCATTGACTTTGCCTTAGTTTGTGTATCTGGGTGTTTTATTGGCAGAGACATACTGTGGAAACTAAAAACACCAATGCTGCTGAAGTGTTTATGATACAGAAGATCCGGTATAACTCCGTCAATGTGTGTGGCTCCATACTGTAGCTCGCATTATTTTCCTGTCAATATGTATGAAAAACACTTTAAAGTGCGTCCTCACCTACCACAAATCATCCCTCCGCTGTGTCTCATCACAATTTGTCCTCTTTCTTCTGCAGCGGGTGCTACATCAAAACACAGCGGGGTGACTGACAAAAAGGAAATGGTAGTTCCTATCCATATGGTGACCATTTACACACACACACAAAGACACACACACACACACACACACACACACACACACACACACACACACACACACACACACACACACACACACACACACCAGAAGCAGCGAGGGAAACATATCTAACAGCCTATCTTTAGTGGACTGTATCGGTCGCCCACATAAATGTCCGCTTGGCTCTGCTCTGATCACATAATTGCTCTGTGCACACCTCTCCCACACACACACAAACAAAGAAGGAAAGTGCACATCCAGAGAGCATACACTGAAGCACACTTAGGGAGCTCACACACACACACACACACACACACACACACACACACACACACACACACCACACACACACACACACACACACACACACACACACACACACACACACACACACACACACACACACACACACACACACACACACACTTAACATCTGGATATATACAACACCCACATATACAGTCCAATGTTAGATATGACATGAAGTGGAGCAGGTATGCCTGCCAGTGTATGCACACACATACACAGCAAACAAAAACTCCCACCACTCTCCCACACAGTCAGAATGTGGAGTGTGTGAAAGATAAAGACAGAAAAAGATGGGACTGAGCAAGAAATGCAGCAAAACAACAGAACAGAATTGTGTTGTATTATTTTTACTTGCCGCCTTTTGTCTATTTGTTGTCCAATTCCTGTTGGAGGTTTTGCGTCATAATATTTTATGTGGGTGGCCTCGACGCCATTTTAGCAAATTCCTTTACACCACATCAATAAATCATAGTAAAAGGCTGTTGTTCTGACCTTTGAATTTCTTTTCAAGCAGAAATCTTAAAGCTTCTGCAAAACATACTATATTTACATTTTTGCTGAACAGGACATTATCATAAATGGGCCCCAATAAGTTTTCTGTTGTGGATCATTAAAGGCCCAATCAAAATGTTATTTATATTTGTACATATATTATAGATATAAATAATAATAAAATATATATATTTCTTACCTGAATAAACGTTATCATTAATAATGTAATAGGTAACATACAAGAAAAGTAAGAATACTTTTTTGGATCTTGTGAATTCAAGTTAGATTCCGGCATTTGAAGAAATGTGCTTTTTATCTTTCTTGCTGAGATTTATACAAGGAAAGGGAAACCAATGTCATGTCCCTACAGTAAAATAGCTTAGCTAGTTAGCTTAGCTTATCACAAAACACTGGAAAAAAGGGAAAATTGATATCCTAGTTAATAGCGTTCCATCTGAAGGTAACACAATTAACCTACCATTACCTCTAAAGCTTAATATTTAAAAAGACACATGTCATTTATACAAAGTTGCATTAAACTCTTTTGGTTCGGGCATCTCATTTGAAGATGCCCATTGAGCGCCTGTTTATTCAGCCGAAATGCAGTGCACTCATTTAAATGACTGATGGGACTACATTTGCTAGAATGTCTGAACCCTGCTGCATCCAAATCCATTTATGAAAACAAAGGGGGTTGTGTGATGGACTTTTCCTCCAGCTGTCACCAGATTCTGACTCCAATGTTGTTAAATCCTGATTGGTGCACTACTAGAGTTTGTGATAAGACTAGTACAACCCACCAGTAATAAGGGAAAACACAGAGAAAAGATATGAATACACAACACGCTATGGTTAAATGTGTTACACCTTTGGTCAGACAATAGAGTGATAAGATCCCACCTCACATAGTAAGAAACACATTGATAAAAATGGTTTTGGGGCCTTTATACATCAAATAGACCTGTGTAGTTATTACAGCAGCTTGTTTAAGCCATGGGATGGTTTTCTTAGGCTGTGTGTGTGTAATTACAAAAGGATCTTTAAAGCATTGTTATGGTTGCCCTTCAATTCCCTCCATTAAAACATCAGGACCTGCACTCTCACTTAGAGGCAGGCAAAATAGGTAGCAGGATTACATTAGAGGAAAATCAATTCTATCTGGATTGTTATAATTAGATGACCTGAGTTTGCCAAGAAGTCGGTAAGTCATTTTCTCTGTTTTTATAACTTTCAAGACTTGGCAGTGGTTCATGAAAATGAAATTACAAATGCTGTGGGTGATATTTATAATTACAAAATGTGTAAAACTGCAGATCAAGTATTCAGTGTAGCATGAATGACGATGTGTGAACACAAAGCAGCAATGCGTTTATATCTGTCACACATACTCCACTCACTATGCAGTACCATACAAAGTGTTATTGAGACTGCATGCCAAACATCAATAGACCAAATCACTGCTGCTTCGTCGAGCTGATCAACAAGAAACAACAAATCGATCCCTGATAAAAGACCATCAGTCGATCTGTCATCAGCCGGATGCTGATACACAAATGAGCTAAACGGCAGCAACAATGACAGCAGCAGTAAGACAGTCAGACGGCTGATCTTTACACACCCTCAGCAGGAAAAATGAAATGCAACGAAACAGAAGGACAGCAATCTGAGATCTGTTATGGAGTTTAGAGAGAAGTGGGACAAGAGAAAAGTAGAGTGGTGATGGTGAGAAGGAAAGAAATAGCAAAGTAGAAGTACATATTCCGTTGTGTCACGGCAAGAGGTGTCAATGCATCATGTAATGGGAGAAGACATTGTTGGGGTAGTGTGAGTAAAAAACAATATGTTGCATAGTCATTGTATTCGAGAAAAGACTGAAGAGTAACGAAAAGATGTAACAAAAAAAAAGGTAATATCAGTAAGAGGCATACAAAAGGACTTTCGAGGACAGAAAGTCTCATTTTCAACAAAACGACACAGCTGGGGCTCGTAGACAACAAACACAGAGGCTGTTCCTCCTACCTGAGTTCCTCTTGGAGATGTACTTGACATCGTCACAGGCTCCCAAGGCGAGGAGGAGGAGGAGGAGGAGGAAGAGGAGGGATAAAGAAGTCATCTCTCTAGTCTCCCCTGGTACCTTAAGAGAAAATGTGAACGTTTTAGAGAACATGTATATTTCTTATTTTCATTGGCAGTATCAGGAGAACATAACCCAAAGGCACAGAGATCATAGATTGAAGTGGACGTGGTTAATGTGATGTTTACCATTAGTTTGTGGAGTGCCGTTTTGAAGCATTTTTTGGCATTTTGATTCGTCGCAATCTGAGTTTTGAAGCCATCTGGTTTATGAAGCCAGATGTGACTTAACAGGGTGAAGCTTAGTGCAACCCAATAATGGAAAAGATGAACAAAGGTGAACAAAATGTTACAATTAACCGTTATAAACTCACAAAAAGCTGTGAGGAGTTCAAGTTCCAAGATAGAAAGACACCCAAATAACGCTGTGGTAGCAGATTGTCACAAGCTAGCCCACACTAAAGAATTATCTCTTTTATCGTCCAATACTGAAAATGGAACCATCATTTTACAACATATTATATTGAAGAAGTTAGGAAGCTAGTGATTGAGTCCATCCAGATACTGTTAACACAATTACAAGAGACACTATCATAACAGTGTGATGAACATCATACTTCTGTTTTAGTCTTGTTTTGTTTTGACATGATTTCAAATTGATGTCAAAGTGTCTGTATCTCTCATTCTTTACAAGTTACAGATGAAAAGAACAAAGTGAGCCCCAAGTGGTGCAGTGTGTGACCCTGTGTGCTGTACAAATTGAAAAACAAAACACTTTATTACAAGTATGGCCATGATGAAAGCACAACACATATTAATATTGATCTGAAATGCAGGTACTCATGCTGCTTTTGAAAATATCAATTTTTTCAACTGATTAAATTCACAATACAAAAACTGAATTAGATTCGACCATAGGCCAGGAATTACAAAGGCTGCAGAATGTTTTACACACACACGCAAACAAGCACGCATACAATCACACACACTCTTTGAGCCAACAATGTGAAATCACACTGATAGACCACAATCCGATTTGTCTTATGCTTTTGTGTACAAACGGCAGTGTATGTCCCCACACAGACACTCACACACACAACCAGGGAGAGATGGAAGAAGCAGATGCCAGCAGTTATTCCATTGTATTTTACACACTCAAAATCTATCTTGACTGCTGATTGAAATCACATTTGATTCACATGAGCAGTGGGACAGTCCGTGATAGATCCTAGTGGAGTGTAGATTTGTGAGCCACAGTCATTTGCCTTTAAAGTAGGACAATGAAATGATGGGATGGGGATCTACAACTGGAACCAAATGGATGTGAAGAACAAAGCCGAGAGAACAAAAACATGATAAAGGATAGTGTACGATGTTGCAAATAGCAGTTGTAAAATCTTTATCTTTGCTGGCTTTAAAGGCATCTGGCCTTTCATCACTTGAAAGGACAGTCATTTTCTTTGTCTGTTAACCTCCTAATGTAGTGTGTCATGCCATCATCTTGATAGTGTCACAGGTGCATCTCAAATCATCGATTCGTTAGACAAACAACACCAACGTAAGGAAATCATTTCTGATTGGTTGAGTGAAGGTCAAAGCCACAGCATACAAACATGTCTGCCTATTATCACTTTATTACACAGTACATTTTGAAGAATAATGTGGTTTTCAGCATTGATATCAATACTTAAACAGCACTGTATTTTGATATACACATTAAAAAAACCATTATTTAAATATATTGTATTGTAGTACATTTGTATTGAATATTTGTATATGATTTTATTTTAAAATGGAGCAACTGCCTCAAAACCCAATCTCTGCCTGTGATAAATTATTCTGATTCTGATGATTCACAGTAAAACAATTAAACACAAGTCGCAGTAAGCCATGAGCGCTCAATACAATGACACCGAAACCAAAGACGCTAGAAATCAGCCATAGTTAGTCACCTGAGTTGTCCCTTCTTGGTTGCTTATTAAAAGGACAATGGTCCTCTCTCTTTCAAACTTGAAGTCTCGTCGTATCAGTAAGCAGTATGCGTATCTTTAAAGTATCAGAGCCCTGACATAAAACAGTGGAGCATAATACTTTCATTTAAATTGCATTAATACAAAAGTATTATGCAGTACTGCAGTTCAGTGCTTTTAGTTTGGAGGCTTGGCTGCAAACTAAGTTTCTCTTGCTTTTACAGAGCAATACAACATGAGGCCAGCCAGAGCAATACAACATGAGGCCAGCCAGAGCAATACAACATGAGGCCAGCCAGAGCAATACAACATGAGGCCAGCCAGAGCTATACAACATGAGGCCAGCCAGAGCAATACAACATGAGGCCAGCCAGAGCTATACAACATGAGGCCAGCCAGAGCAATACAACATGAGGCCAGCCAGAGCAATACAACATGAGGCCAGCCAGAGCTATACAACATGAGGCCAGCCAGAGCAATACAACATGAGGCCAGCCAGAGCAATACAACATGAGGCCAGCCAGAGCTATACAACATGAGGCCAGCCAGAGCAATACAACATGAGGCCAGCCAGAGCAATACAACATGAGGCCAGCCAGAGCTATACAACATGAGGCCAGCCAGAGCTATACAACATGAGGCCAGCCAGAGCTATACAACATGAGGCCAGCCAGAGCTATACAACATGAGGCCAGCCAGAGCAATACAACATGAGGCCAGCCAGAGCAATACAACATGAGGCCAGCCAGAGCTATACAACATGAGGCCAGCCAGAGCTATACAACATGAGGCCAGCCAGAGCTATACAACATGAGGCCAGCCAGAGCTATACAACATGAGGCCAGCCAGAGCTATACAACATGAGGCCAGCCAGAGCTATACAACATGAGGCCAGCCAGAGCTATACAACATGAGGCCAGCCAGAGCAATACAACATGAGGCCAGCCAGAGCAATACAACATGAGGCCAGCCAGAGCAATACAACATGAGGCCAGCCAGAGCTATACAACATGAGGCCAGCCAGAGCTATACAACATGAGGCCAGCCAGAGCAATACAACATGAGGCCAGCCAGAGCAATACAACATGAGGCCAGCAGGAGCAATACACAACCCAGTCTCATGGCATTTCGTGTTCACCAACACGATTTTTAATCTATTGATTCGTGTTCACCAACACGATTTTCCCATTTTTTTCGTGTTGCACAGCACGATTTTAAAAGCAATGTATTTCTACTGGTAATGACGCTCATGGAAGCACGGCATTCGTTTGTGTCGGCTGCCCTTAAAGGCAATGTGAGCGTCCATTCTCATTGGATAACGGAGAATTGTACACCCGGAAGTAAGTATTCTCCTTACTGTCGATTGATTTTACAGTGATATCTGCACTACTCATCGACTAAAAAACACCAGATTATCCTTGTTAATTACACAACATTGATTGGTTTAAATTGTGTGCAATGCTTTTGTATTTTTCCCCTTCGATTCGGAGAAACAAATATGTTTTCAGAGTAAAGGATAGCAGAAGACACTACACTACCCAGAATCCCCAGCTATCGTTTGGACTACACCATGTGCTCTGTTTGACAAACCCCGTGATAGTCCTCAAGCTCTGTGATTGGAGAGTGTGCTCCGAGGGTTACGCCGATTCTCGAACAGCACTTGAAATGGGATGGAACCACGCAGACTGTCCAAAACTGGATTTGAACGGGTCCACCGCGTCCCCCCCTCCCCCACCCCGTCCCCAGAACTACACATGCTGGCTATTCTGTTTCGCAACATGTTCTCTATCTATGGCACGTCTCTACTGGGAGTTGTAGTTTTAAAAGACGTTTTCGTATTTCCCATAATAAGAAGTTGCCAGTATTGAACTGTGTACATCCCTGGAGGTTTAGGGGATAGGAAACACTCACATTTAAAACATATAATTAATAAAAGGGTGAAAATTGCTTGTGCCCATAATGGGCAGCATTAATATATATACACACATGCCAGCTAAGGTCAGAAGAGCTTTATTTAACAGCTGGTCTTATGTTTGTGACCCCTGTTGTGAATTGATAACATTACATTAATTGATAAGCCTGAAACATGCACTTGTCAAGGTTCAGAGGCACATTTTGCAAATATAGCAGTAGCCATCGATCAGCTTAAGATAAGATATACTTTATTGATCCCAAGTTGGAACATTTGCGTTACATCAGCATGTGTAACAGTTAAATATGCAGTGGTGTTTATTTGTAAATCATTTAGTATAAATCACACAAATTCTGTGTTTTATATTCAACAATTCTGTGTTCTTTATTTATTGATTGTTCAATACCTGACAAGGCCGGAGATGAAATATCTACATACATCTTATAAGAGTATAATACATTATGTATAATATCAGTTAAAATAAGTGCTTCAACATAGTTAACATTGCTGGAGGTATGCACAAATATTGATAGATGTCTTGTAATGCACTATTGAGGAACCTGCGACCCAAGTTTTTCATTCAATGCATAACTACACCATAGTTGTGTAGGCCTATATGATATGTCAATAAACCTTAGAAAATCTTGAAAGGGATGTGCAAAATAGTCATTATATACAGTCTTTAATTAACTATTAGTAGAGAATAACGAGTAATGAATATACTTTATAGGGATCCTATTAATATCTAATAATAAAAATAATGAAATTCAATAACCTGCTTTAACCACTAGGTGTCGCTTTATATCAGCTGTGCAACTTTATGGTGTAAATACAGCCTATCTACCAATTGGATCAAATATAAAAGTCAGCCGAATTAGTGTTGATACTGCAAGGAGACGTATTGTGTGAAAAGAAATGTAAGATGTTGTTTAATTGCTTATATATTTATGACCCACGTCACGTTTTCAGTTCCTCATGTTTGTCTAGAAGTCTTCTCATCAGGGCTCTATAAATACAGAACTACGGCAGATATGTAATATTTAATACAGCCGAACCGTGTATTACAATGCCGTTATGTGATGACTTCCAAAGAGAAAAGCAAGCACACTCGAAATAAAGTATTATTTATTTATTTTTTAAATGTTTTCGGTCTGTTTCCGGTATTTGTTAATGACGATG